GGAACAAAGTGAACAACGAAACAGCCGATGTTGCGGAAGGCGTGTCACCTGAAAAGGCACTGTCGAAGAAGAAACTCTACCCGGTTTTGAGAAGGGAAACAGTGAAGCCCTTGAGGAAGTTACTACCACTGATGTGACTATTACCGATAATAGGACAGTTCCCGATGGAGCAGATGAGCCCCACGTGAAGCAAAAGCCAACGAGATGGAGACCAGTATGGAAGAAGATACGTCCCGTAAAATTAAGAGACTTTGTTGAATTTAATTGTTTGTGTTTGTAGTGTTTGTAAATTCTGTACATTTAATTAAGTTATTGTTAATTCTCTCTTGGTTTAATTTAAGTGGCTATTGTTTGGGATGAGCAATACTAAGGAAGGGGCAGTGTTACGACAGCGGAAGTCACGTGACTCTAGTAACACGTGATAAGTATCTAGAAGATTCATGAAGAGACGAGTGTAATCGGGATGTATATATAAGCTGGCAAATAAAGTGATGGCAAGAATAGAATTGCAGACAGACAGAGACAGACAATTAAGTCCAGCGCAGTAGTGACCATTAGTAAAGTGCGTAAATCGTTGTGAATTATAGCGTGTGTTTAAGTTAAAGTGACTGTGGAAATTTACTGTACTGCAAAGTTGAGTTTAGAAAGAAAAAACTAGTTTTATTTAAGAAAGAACTTGTATCACTGAAGTTTCTCGTAAAGAATTTCTATGGAAAATTAACAAATGAACACAGAGACGTAAGAAGACCTTATTTCTGAGTCCTCTCATGGATAAAATTAGTAGTAAACGTTACACTTACAGATTCTAGGCCTAGTACTAGTCAATATTAGGTAACATTGAATCTAGTAGATTTAGTAGTACTAATATTATCTAATCAAAAAACACCTTAGGGGTGAAAACAAGGTGGAGCCAAAAAAGGATTGAGTGTGAGACGTAAAGGAATGAAATCAAAATTGGTAGCTACACTTGTAGCACTGATAATAATTTTAATGCAAATATTGATTCATTAGTTAGCCATGCCGCATTTTTTGTTCAACTTGGGGCATGATGGTTGATAAAACAAAATACGCGGCCTAGCTAATTAATGAATGAATAGTTTGACATTCTGTTAATACACATCTACAAACCACAGCCAGTAAGAAAGTGGCACTCGATAGTAACCAGCATTAGCTTTGAGATCGCAACTCTATTATACGGAAAAGATCTATACTTTACAGAACCAACCAGATTCTTTAAAATATATGGATGTACTTTTTCCTCTCTAAAATAGCGTTAATAACTTTATAGTAATGCCATGAATTGGTTGGTTGTTTTGAATTTCATGCAAAGCTACATGAGGGCTATCTGCGCTAGCTGTCCCTAATTTAGCAGTTTAAAACTAGAGGGAAGGCAGCTAGTCATCACCAACCACTGCCAACTCTTGGGCTACTCTTTTAACAACGAATAGTGGGATTCACGGTCACTTGATAATGCCCACATGGCTGAAAGGGCGAGCATGTTTGGTGTGACGGAGATTCGAACCTGCGACCCGCAAATTGCGAGTAGAGGGCTCTAACCACCTAGCCATGAATGCCATGGAATCTAGATTAACAGTTTCTTGTTATCACCTACATGCACATGGCACAGCGGTATCAAACACCATTATTTACGCTAATTGCTTAAGCTAACATCACGTGACTCTAAACGCTCTTTAATGAGGAAAATTTCATAAAATCTCTGCTTAAAAGTTGGCAATGATTGATAACTGCCCACCTATATGATTCTTTTGAAAATTTGAGTTAGAAACCGATAATCTAGTTTGCTTATCCTAACCAATACTTATGTATCTGCACGTCTTTCACCCTATATTTTTGATACTCTAAATCAGCCTTCTTTAATCGGAATGACAAAACTAAAAACGGTCCACTTTTACTCTTACGTGAAGCTGCAGTAAAAAATTTTGACCAATAGCTCATGTAACGTTTGCACAGGCGTGCGCGAAAATATTCACATCTGATCGATTTTTGTTGAATAATGTTGCCCATGTGGCTTATACAGAGCCTCTGAAAGGAATTTTATCAGGGGTACAAAGTTTCTTTCAAGCCCCCTTTCCTTCTACATTAATCATCTTGTTTTTATACACTACCGTTTTATGACATGAGTTGTAAGGCCAAAAAGGGGTATGGAAGATGAGAGAGGGGTGGAATGGAGCGCTCTGTTGATTTTCTGTATTAGAGGCCTTATGCGCCTATACTCCCTCCATGATAAATATAAACAAGATAAAAAAAGGATCAGAGAAAAGAAAGCACATTTGAACATCTTTGTTTATTCTATAATACAGATAAGGAGAAAGAATTCATATTGAAACATCCTTTTATATTGCAATGCAGATCACAAGACATAATTATCAGTAAAAAGTAAAAAAAAAAAGGTAGATAGGCTTAGTATTTACTTTACAAAAAGAACTTTCCTGGCCTTTTTTTTTTGTGAAAAATGTTGAATCACAGCATGAAAATTAATTGTTCTGGCAATGTTTGATTCAATACTTAGCCTGGCCAAATCCACAAGACGTTCCTAAGACATTGTAGACCTTAAATAATTCTTAATCAGCTTGAATTTGCTAAATGACCTCTCTGCAGAAGCTACTGTTGCTGAAATTGTTAATAGTATTACGACAGCGGGGGTCACGTGACGCTAGTAACACGTCATATTCTTGAAGGTTCGTGAAGTCTCGAGCTTTTACTAGATATGCGGTAGTCTTGTATATATATATATAAGCCACCAAGAACTAAAGGCAGCAATGGGTAATTGAACTGCAGACAGAGAGAGGCGTATTGTTGAGCACGTGAGACGTTCGTTGTGAATTATAAAGTTTGTTATAGCGTGACTGTGGAAATTAAGTGTATTGCAAAGTTGTATTTGGAAAGAATAAACCTGTTCTATTTAAGAAAGGACTTGTATCGCTAAAATTTCTTCGGAAAGGAATTATACGGAAAATTAACTAGCGAACAGAGACGTAACAGTATTATTATTATTATTACTACTACTGGTCTGACATTGCTATATAATAAATCAATATAGCAATGACTTAAATGTCGAAACTAGTTTCCATTTAATATTGGTATTGTTTCGTTAGTGTGGATTAAACTTTATTGTAGATTACTTTACACAGTACTGTGTATTATATAATTTGTTTACCTTCAAAATGCACTAAAGATGTTTGTGGATTTTTTTAAATTGTTTAATGCCAGTATAAACCGTTGATACCATGTATTTCGTTGCTTTCACGAAGACTGATTTATACATGCTATAGATCTGCACAAACGATTCGTCGTGTCGTGAATAAATGTCAGTTGTGTTTTATATTTGGTCGAGTCGTTGTGCACGACCTGGGAAGGTCAAGTTCTATTCATACCTCTTCCTCCCCACAAATGATTCAAAGCAAAGTTGGCCTTTTGTTCAAATATGGCGCTTGAGGACACCGAATATGACGTCATGCACACTCCAGCCTATATAAACTCCGTGCAAATGTACAATCAACATATGCAACAATAAATAATCCTTCGTTTGGGAAGTGATGTTATCCAACGAACATAAAGGCAGCACGTGATTTTTTCTTCGTATAGTTAAATTAGGGGCTGCAGTCATTAAAGCTAGAAGGTATTGAGTAGTGTATCCATATTTATTCAGTGGTGTGGGAATTTGTTGTACTGAGTTTTTTATTTTAGTTATTGGTTTATATTATATTTATAACCAAGTACACAAAATGAAATTGAAAGTTCTTGAAATAATATTATTGTCTCTGCTTGCAGTTTCTTCTGTGAAAGGTAATTGAATTTTTAAATTTAATATTTTTACTTTTAGATTCAGTAAAATGGTTCAACTTTGTTTAGTTTTACTTTTAGTAAACCAAATGATAATTCGTATTGTGGTAGTTAGTACCTTATTAAATTACTACCATCTACGTACCGTTAGTACTAGTAGTAGTAGTCTTATATCTGAAATGAAATGTTTCTTTTTGGAAGTGATACGATACTATGATAATTCGTACTGTGGTAATTAGTACCTTATTAAATTACTACCATCTACATAACGTTAGTAGTAGTCTTATTTCTGAAATAAAATGTTTTTTGGAAGTGATACTATCACTGATACTTATAGTTTCTTTAGTCAAAAAAAAAAAAAAAAAAAAAGACAACTGCACCTGTATTTTAAAATTATTCTGAATATTTGATCATTCACCAATTCATTCATTCAGTCAGTCACTTTTTGTAGCACATTGTCTGTTTGTAGTCTAACAATTGGACCATTGTAAAAATTACTGTATATATAATGAATTACACCAAGGTGTAAATGTCAATAGCCAATATAAAAACTGTGCACTTACTGGAAGTATGTACAGTAGGTATCAACATATGTCCCCAGTTCAATAGACTAAACCCTAAATGGCATAAGTTTTAAATATATAAGTTGATATTGACAAAGGTACAACGTAAATAGACAGGATAGATGGGCACCTGAAATATTGGTAATTAGATTATATAAGCCATGGAGAAGTGTCTGATAAAGGAGTGGTTGTAGTCTGGTTTCTCAGTAAAGTTAACTATTGAACACCAGTTTGTGCTTTATCCAGTTGCTAAAGTTTGTTTATAACATTTTATTAAGTATATGATGGCAATATAAAAGTAACTTGACAACCCCAGACAATATAAAGTAAAAATAGAACAAATTGCTCATATCATAACTTCGTTTTGACATTGGTTGTTGCTATTTCTTAGGTAGTGTGATGCCACAGAAAATGAATTGGGAAGGGTATGTAACAGCCATTTTTGGCACAAATTATTCTTGCACTCAGGTCATAAAGATGTGTTCAGGTTAGGGATTTTGAACTTCCAAGTCTGGGATAACTATTGTACTTAATGTTATTGGGAAAACAAAGGAATATGGACCAATTGGGAGAAATAATAATTAGAAACATTGATTTCAATTAATAGATGTAGTCATAATATTAATTAATCAATTAGTTATGTGCCAGTAGTCAATGTAATTCTTGCTCATAGGTAACTGATTAAATTGCCCAGCTCTAGTAACAGTCTAGGTCTTGTAATAGATGAGAATCCTTAAACATGTATGTAACTGGCAAAAGCATCCTATGCATCACAGGCAACATAGTAAAGAAGTATTTCCATTTGGAAAAGTGATACAAGATGCTTCTGTTCATATTTGTCAAAGGAAGACCAACTGTAGAAAATTATATCCACAATTGTCTTAATTATATTGAACTCAACCCTGCGTACCATTGATTGGATGTTTAGGTAAATTTTCTTTTTTTTTAACAATATGTATTTTTTAGCAAGACAAATGTATCATTTTATTATGTATTCTTTGTTGTTCTGTGGCTTAACAACAGTAGTTTTAGGTTAAAACATATTGTAACATCCTTTTTGCTCTAGGTGGTCAAAACTTATCTCAAGTTTAGCAAAAAGTTTTGATTTTTCACTTAGAATGTCTAAATTACTGTTTCCTTATTCATTTGTTATACTTGTAGTGTAATTTCAGTTCAGCTGTTTCTGTAATCTGAATTAGTGTATTTCAATCCACTCAAAAGGTATAAAGAAATTATTGTAATTTACACACAATTTTTATCAATCATTTGTTCCATTGTTGTTCTGTTTTAAATGTATTTAAGAAGAATCTCTGGCCATCCTTAGCTATTAAACTTGTTTATTAAGGCCTAGTATATACAGGGGTTAGACAAAATAATGGAAACACCTTGGAAAATCAACAAAATATATTTTAATATGGTGTAGGTCCACCTTTTGAGGCAATTACAGCCTCAATACTCCGAGGTATTGATTCATACAAATTGTGAATTGTTTCCAAAGGAATTTTAGCCCATTCTTCAGTTAAAACACCCACCAGTTCTTTTAGAGACGATGGCGGCGGAAATCGACTTCTTACTTGAATCTCTAAAATCGACCATAAATACTCAATAATGTTGAGGTCTGGGGATTGTGGTGGCCAGATGAGATGCTCAACTTCATTAGAATGTTCCTCGTGCCATTCTTTAACAATTCTAGCTGTATGGATTGGGGCATTATCATCTTGAAAGATGGTGTTCCCCTCCGGAAACAGTGCTTGAACCATAAGATGAACTTGGTCGCCCAAAATTCCTAAATAGTCTCGTCTGTTAATTCTTCCATGAAGGGAAATTATTGGCCCGGCGGATTTCCAAGAAATAGCACCCCAGATCATCACAGAATCCCCGCCATGTTTTACGGTTGAGAGAAGGCA